TCACTGGTTTTGTGGCTTCATGGAATTTTGACGGTTGACGCTGAAACTATCGAAATTGAGAAGAGAACTTCATGAATTTCACAACAAAGGAAATCCAAAGATAGTTTGCTCTAATGAATTTTGTGTAAAAGTGACCCTGAAAAAGGCAAAGAACTGGTCATAAACGGGTACACTAAATCCGAAGCAATGTAGACATCTACCTGTTCAGTACTCTAGTATTCTCGAAAAGAAAGAAAATGGAACTAACTCAGACCCCCGTGCCTTCCATTTTTCCCACTCTTCTCTTTCTCCTCTTTTCCCTTCCCCAACTCCTCCTCCGCCGCACTCCTCCCTCCCTCCTCCTCCTCCCCCTCCTCTTTTCTTTCAGCTACACTAAAAAAACCCTTCTCACTTTTTGGCGACTTTTGAAGTAAATCAGATCATCCAAATTTCAACTTATAACACTTTTTACCGCAGCAACTATGATGACCGTACAATCAAAGTAATAGTAATGACGTTTTCGCGCTACAACGAACATTTCAATATGATAGGCGTACATACTCTTCCTCATTTTTATCAAACATAGGCGGCGAAGCTACTACTGCAGATATTCTTACGAAATGTTTGGTAGAATTGTTCTTTAGTATAGAATGCGATGAGTAGAGCAGCATTTTCGTTATACATCAGCGCTTTTATCATAAGAAAGATAATCTTTCCGTAATACAACATCCTTTGAAATATTACTCATGACTTCGATTGACAGCAAATCAATTAAGGTTAGCAGGTTCAGGTAAAATAAGAAGATGCAATTCTCTGCTCTCTCGCCGTACCAGTAATGCTGATATCTCGAAATCAAAGCAAAAAAATTTGATAAACCATCCGCATGAACTTACTGCAGCTTTTTTATCTTTTCTTTTCATAATTAGTCTTTAACATAATAGCACTGATAAGAGCTTAAATCAGAATTCAACAAAAACTTGAAAACCAAATTTAATAGAACTCCACATAACCGAGGCGTTGAATTAAAAGGACCAGTACTACGTGAAGTTTCCGTCTGACATTCTACCAGAAGCGACTCACAGTGAGAGGGCGATGGTGTCGCGCAATATTTACTCTGTTTTCGGCAATGCAGATCTCCATTCTATTCTTCTCCTCTTGGTCTTCCCCAATCTCATAGCGGCCGACGATAGACATCAGACCAGCGTAAAACGTCATCTGTAAGGCATCAACGATTACTAATGGTGCATAATTTACCATAACTCTTAACATTTGTCTCTAAGAAGAAAAAGATTCGCTGTTCACATTTTTTGCTTGAAAATTTTCTTCAAATTTGAATTGATCACTGTAAAAACAAGCAGTCGCTACCTGATAGATGAATGCCATGACCATGGATAGCATGTTGCCAGCACAGAGAA